CCGACGCCGACGAGCGGAGGAAGCGGTCCTTGAGCGAGGCCGCGGCCTCGGCGTCCGACGCCGGCGCGCCGAGGTTCGACGACGAGGCCGCGACCTGGATGCCCTGGACCTGGTGGGCGGCGGAGAGGAGGGCGATGGCGGTGAGAATATGGAGCGGCATCGCAAGGACCTGTGAGACGCTGAGTAAACTGCGAGGTGATGAACAAATCGCGAGGAGCCCGGGCGATGTCGCGCCGACCGAAGACGAGACCGAGGAGAGGCGTGAGCGAGATGAGGGCCAAGAGGGCGCGGGGGAAGAGGGCGCGGGGGGGAAGCCCGGAGGAGAGAGCGAGAAATTTCGAGACGCGGCCGCGTGCGTGCGGGTCGGTTGAATCGTAGATGTTGAGCAGTAGATGATGAGCAGTAGGAATGCTCTCGTGTCGCCCCGCAATGCCGACGAGTTTGGCCGGCGCAAGAAATCACACTTGTGATCCATGCAACACCCCGCTGGACTCGGGCACTTACATAACGCCATCCGCCGAACAGGAAACAGCCAAGAGCAGACCTCCAACAATTACCAACTATAACACGAGCGGCTTCGTGATGTCGCGGAGTGACCGGGCGATCTGGTCCGCGAGCCCCGCGGGTGCCACCGGGCTTGCGGAAGTCGAAGAGCCTTAGAGAAGAGCCTCTACCGGCGGGATATGCTAACACAAAGCCAGACCTCGAAAAATGACCAAGGAGATCACGAGCCGCGGCGCCAAAGGAGATCACGCGCGCGCCCGCTTGCGCGCGCCGACGTCGGCGGCGTGGGCGCGCTTGCGGACGCCGACGAGGCGCGCCACGAGGTCGGCCTTGAGGCCGTCCTCGGAGTCGGCGCCGGCGGCGCGGAGCTCCGCGCGGAGCTGCGACACCTTGAGCCGCTTCGCCGCGCGCAGCGCCGCGGCTTCGTCGAAGTCGTCGTCGTCCGAGGGCTCATCGGGCGGCGGCGGCGCGCGGCGCGGCGCGGCGTCCGCGGTGTCGCGGGGCTTCCCCGGGCGGCGCGGCGCGGCGTCCGCGGCGTCGCGGGGCTTCCGCGAGGCCGCGGCGCGCGGCGCGGCGTCCGCGGCGCCGTCGACGCGGGGCTTCGGGCGCGCGCGGCTCCGGAGACCGCCGACGCGCGGCTCCGGCGGCGCGGGCGGCGCGGCGGCGGCGCGCGCCTCGGGCGGCGGCGCGGCGGCGGCGGCCTCCGGCGCGGCGGCGGCGGCCGGCGCCGGCCGGCCTCCCCCGGCGACGAGCGACTCGAC